CTGATTTCTACTCAATATAATAGCAAGTTTAGATTATGCGAACTGATAATGGTACATAGTATGTGAATAAAGCTTTTTCTGAGCATTTATTGATATTGGTATTATACACCAAATATTGTGTACTGGAACACTTTAGTAGAACAGAGTTACTGAAAGGAAAAAATAAACACTTTCAGAAGCTACAAGGTCTTTGATGTTTCTTATGTTCATGTTGCTAGGAGCAATAGAGATAAACTTGATAAACATTTCATGAGATGTATTCTGTTTGGAAACACCTCTACTTAAAATGGATACAAATGTTATGATCCTACAACCACAAAATATATATTCTCGAGATATTCAATTTGTTGAAACATAGTCTTATTTCCATGACACATTGAAAAGTGGTGTGGAAAATATGACTCCGAGGGAGCATTCAAGATGTTGTTTGTCTTTGCTTATTATTAGTACCGGTGATGTGTCCAACAATAATATTAGTATCAGTGATGCGTCAAACACCCCCGGAACAAGTCATAATGATCAAATCGAAGCTGAAAATACCTTTAAAACTCACCAAACTAGTTCATAAGAAGAAGACTCTGACGTGTTCCCACGTGATCCCCTCTTGCTTAAGTATTCTCTTATCTCTCAACCTTCCTCTAGACTTTAACATTTTTCTATTTACCATGTTGTTTTTTATCCTGTTCAAAATTACATTTCTATAAAAATATCTCTTCTAGCTATTTTGCATTTTTAGTTCTCGTTCTAATAATTTCGAGCCAAAGAATTTTCAAAATGCTATTTCTCAACCTGTGTGGAGGAATGCTATGAAAGAAGAACTTTATGCACTTGACAAGAATCATACTTGAGATATTGTCAAATTATATAAAAGAAAGAAAGCACTTGGATTTAGATAGATTTTTAAATCAAATATAATAGTGATGAGTCTGTTGTAAGGTATAAAGCTAGGTTAGTGGCCAAAGGATTTGCCCAAACTTATAAAGTCGACTATAACGAGACTTTTACACTAGTTGCCAAGATGAATATTGTTCGTATCATTTTGTCTATCGCAGTTAATTTTGGGTGGTCTTTGCATCAGATGGATATTAAAAATGCCTTCTTACATGCTAACCTTAAAGAGGAAGTCTATATGACTCTTCCTCCAAGCCATTCTAAAGAAAATGAGAAATGTCTTGTAAGCAAATTAAAAAAGGCATTGTATGGACTTAAACAATCACGTCGCACATCGTATGCCAAACTCAACTCAGCATTGATGTGTCGAGTTTCTTAGAAACTCAGTTGATTCAGTTGTATTCATTTATGAATGATGATATTATCACTACATGTAATGACAAAAAAAGAATCATGAAGCTTAAAAATTATATTCACAAGAAATTTGACGTCAAGGACCTTGGTAAAGTAAAGTCTTTTTCTCGATATTGCAGTAGAACATTAAAAAAAGGGACTCTTTATTTCTCAAAAGAGATATGTCTTATATTAATTGAAAAAAAACTGGGAAACTGGGAATCAAACATGTTGACTTCCATGTTGATATTAATTGCAAGCTTAATTCAACAAATAGAAAATCTCTTGAAGATATTGGTCGCTTTCAGAGACATGTGGGCAGATTGATTTATTTGACTGTAACACGACCATATATAATGTATGTGGTTAACCTTGTAAGCTGATTTATGCATGCTCTTAGATCATGCCATGTAGAAGCTATCAAAAGGATTCTCATATTTTAAGTCATCACCAGGCAGAGGTATTTGAATGAAATTGAACAGTCACACTAATATTATTGGTTATTCTAATGTTGACTGGGCAATTAATCCAATTGATAGGAGGTCAACTATTGGCTATTGTACATTGGTCGGAGGAAACTTGGTTACTTGGAAAAGCAAAAAATAAAATATAGTTGCTCGATCCAGTGCAGAGATCAAGTATAGAGCTATGACTTCAACTGCAAGTGAATTGATATGGATAAAATCACTACTTCGAGATATGAGATTTCCAACGGTCAATCCAATGGAGATGTTTTGTGATAATCAAGCAGCTATGCTTATAGCCTCTAATCCAAATTTTTACGAAAGAACCAAGCATATAGAAGTTGATTGTCACTTTGTAAGAGAAAAAGTTCAATAAAAAACATGTTCGAAGTGAAGATCAACTTGTAGACATGTTTACCAAAGCTATTGCAAAGACTAAGTTCCATCAGATACTGTCCAAGTTGGCTCCGTGGATATGTTCTCACTAGCTTGAGGGGGAGCGTTGACAGTTATAACAACAAGTTATTAAGCTTCATATCTTGTGGATTATAAGATATTGAGTTTCTTATAGTTTCATGTATTGGGTTTCCTATTTTGTGGGATTACAGTTGTATTGAGATTTCTTTCCTGAAAGACAACAATTCTAACTCTATATACCTTTTATGGATGTAGGCACCATTGCCAAATCACGTATATGTCTTGTTTCTCTCTCTCTCTCTCTCTCTCATCGTTACTCTCTTATCTCATCACTGCTTCCTTATTGCAAATTCTACAATAAGCTATTCGTATAAACTTTGAAGGTTATAGTCTATGGACCATTGCTTGAAAAAGTGGACTTGCCTATGTGGCAGAGTCTAAACTTAATAAATGGAAAAAAGAAGAAAACTAATAAAAAATTTGAAAAATTAAATAATATTAATCTTTAAAAAAATCCATTAAATTATCATGCATTTGATGAAATTTTTAAGCATTAAAGGGTTTTTCTATGAGAGTAGCACACATTCGTTCCACAATCTAAAATAGAGCACATAACAATGATGAGTACCTTAGGAGCAATCAAATCTTAAAATTAGTATATAGATAAACTTAACTCGATGTGAATGATGAGTAAGTTGAAAGTCATTCTGAGCGTCATGATCTCAATCATCATCATTATGAATATATCTGCATGGGTTTTAAGTCCCAAGACTAGGCTATCTCTCATGCTTGCCCTTGTCCTGCTACTCATGATCAGTTTCCAGCATCCTTGCTTCACCAAGAGTCATTTATATCAGTGGCCTCATCCAACTCTTCTACTCTTACATCTCTTCCTTTATCTTCTCATATTTCTCATCTTGTGCACCTATTTCTCATCCTCATCAGCAATGGGGCTCAGCTCTTCTTTGAATTCATTCTTATTAAAACTTTATTTCTCGTCCTTATCAGTAATGGGGCTTATCTCTTTTTTGAATTCATTCATATTAAAAAGTTAACTTATTAGTTTCAGTGGGGAAGACATGCCCTTATCCATTTTTTCAAATAGTTTAGAAGTTAGATTTTTTAAGGTATTAATGGGATGGTGTTAGTGAGAATGGAAACCACAACCTAATAACTCGGGTATGGAGCTGCGACCACCACGACCCTAGCCCCTTTTTTTTTATATTATCCAAGTTGATTGGCCCTTTCTTACCCGTTGCTTTTAGATGTTCAAATTGTTATGGATGTAGACTAGATTTTAAAGACTAACAATAGTCCACTTGTTTATCCACTTGGTTTTCCAATATCAAAACAATTTTTTTTGATGGATTTTGAGGTGCACCTTAATTCTACATTTTAAGGTAGCTAACCAATGAGACAACTCAACATCTTTTCCTATCTTGTCCTTTTGTTCATCTTTAGAGTTGGGCCCGTCAAAATCTCAATCTTTTTTTACATGTTCCTCAAAATATAAGGGTCATAATTGATCATTGGCTTTCTCTCGGTATTTCGAAGATGGGTATTATTTTATAGAGATCTATTTGGATTAGTATACCATGCAGTGTGTGGAAGGAAAGAAATAGAATGGTCTTTGATGCTATCAATACAAATGTATTAACATAGAGATCAAATATTATGACGGCGGCAGTAGATTGGTTATCTTCTTATAAGGATAGTGGCATCATCCCAAAAAGCCATATCATCTCAAACCCTATATGAATGACGACTTTGGAGGTGAACAAACCATTCGAAGAGCTGTTGTTTGGAAACTACAATCTCCTAATGCGCTTAAACTCATTTTTGATAGTAGCTCATTTGGTAACCTAAGTGCAACTGGCTTTAGTGGACTCATTAGAAATAGTGGGGCCAACATCATTTATTCATACTCAGGCCCTTGTGGTATGTCGACAATGAACGAGGCCGAAATTCGTGGTTTACAGGAAGGACGGAAATTGATCTCAACGTTGGACGTAGATGTGATTATTGAAAGTAACTCGGTAAATGTTATAACTTGAAGCAAAGAAGAAGCCAATATTCCATGAAGGTTAAAATCTATTTTTCATGAGATCAGAGATATTTTGGTGGTACTAAATACTGAAATTCATCATTGCAGTCGGGAGGCTTATGAAGAGGTGAATGCTTTAGCCAAGGGAGGAGTCAATTGCCCTTCATTGGTGGTGACGTGTTTTCAATACTTCATCTTTTTCTTAAATTTGTGCTTTTTCAAAATCGAAATTTTTAAAATTTTTAGTTTATCAAAAACTGAAAAGGGTAGTTTCATTTTTCTTTTTTTTAAAAAAAATTGTCATGAAGTTGAAAAGATGGACATATCTACAATAACAGAAACTAACAAGTATTTTCGTAATAACAAAAAATAAACAGATATTTACATAATTCCCCCCCAAAAAAAAAAAAATGGCAATCTTATATACACTTTTTTCCTTTCATTTATTTTAGTACTGCTGCATAGTACCTACTCCCTTGCTCAAAACACCTCTTTAAAAGGATTTTTTTAATCTAAAATTTTAAGAACCATAAAAAAATTACTAGATGATTATTTCTGAAAGAAAAAAATTATATTTTGAGTTTTGTAATTACTTAGATCTAGTCTTTCGAAAATTGGACGCTATCTATTCAATCTTGGGACAATAATTTTTTTTTTTTTTTTAAATAGAGTGTCTATTATCAATTTTCTTTTAAAGGAGATTATTTAATGCGTGTGGAAATTATATTCGTCAATTTTGATATCTAAAAAGTACTCTTCTCTTCATGGGGAGTAAATCTATATTCCCGAGGGAGTAGTAAATATTTTGTATTTATTCTTCCTGAAAAACCCAGTATTATCTCCCGCTTTTCGTGTGATGGCCTGAATTCGGCAGTCGGCGGTCCTCTAACCCGTAAGCTCCACTAACTTCCCGGTCGCCGGAATTTGCAGAGTATCGCTGCTATCGCTTTAGGAAACCATTTCAGGCGAATTTTACTAAGCGAATTTTTCCGGTGAACTTCGGGCCATTTAGTTGTTCTCAATTGTATTAGCGATTCATTTTACGCTAACAATTCTTTGCTGAGCCCAGTGTTCTTTTTTCTTTTTCAATTTTGAAATTCTGGAGAGAAGACGGCCGGATTTGTCACCGGAGAAATCAGGAAACGGTGGCTTAAAGTGATGGGCTCGAAGCTTGAATGGAAGTTTTCACAGGTTTTTGGCGAAAGAAAGGCTGGAGAGGAGATTGAAAATGGTATGAATGTTTGTTGTGATTCCTTGAGATAATCTTCAATTGATTTCCTTCAAATTTCTTAACTCTCTGTAATTTTTGCTCATTTGTAAAAAATTTTCTTTTTGCTTTATTTTTTTGCGGAAGACATTTTGGCCATTCGACATTTGTGGGTAATTTGAATTAGGTTTTCAATTCTCTTTAGAGCTATGTTGCTTCTTTAGTCGTAGGTTTCACCCCTTTTCTAGTGTGCTTTGATGGAATCTTTGAGGGATTCAGCTGAAATGCCGATTACTCCCTCTCTCTCTCTCTCTTCCAAAATCCGAATTTCATCTTGTCTCGCTGGTTCTTTGCAAGAAATGGGTTCGTCTCTCTCTTTGGATGCTGAATTAGGTTCTCTCGCGAACCAAAATGCTGAGTTACATTTTCTCTCTTTTTATTGCTTGCACTCTGTCACCTAACTATAGAATTCTGTTGTTCTGTCTTATCTTTCCTTATCTCACTTCCCATAATGCAGAATCACATTATGTATCTTTCTCTAAGTTGAATTCTTCTGCCTATATCTGTCAAAATGCTGTGTGTGTGTGTACGTTCGAGCGTGCAGGTGTGTGCGCGTAGACATCTTGAAGATATGCATTATATATCGGTCCTATACTCATTTATTGTATGATGTTGATTGTTTCCTTCACCTCTACATGCTTCATACTACTTTGAATAGATTGTTCTCACCACCTTATTCTTATTAGAGTCTTTTCTTTGATTCTCTTGTTATTAAGGTAATTAAATCACAGCATTCTGAAAGAATAATGCTTACGCAAATACACATATTAATGCAAATTTGCACTGTCTCTTTATTATATCTTTGTAATAACTGTATTGCAACTTTCTGACTTTTTAAGTGGGAGGGATATCTGCTCTTTTTCTTTACACCTACTTATTCTTGTTGCTTGTCCAGAGTGATCCAATATGTTGGCAAACCCTTTTTATTTTTGAAGTAAGGAGAGCATGTCATCGATCTCTACAACCCAAAACTCTTGAGTTTTCTATATCATATTTTCAATTTGCTTCTGTATAAAAGGTCCATCTTTCTTATTTGTTACTTTCTAAGTGTGAGATCGATTCAAGGATCACAAGTGTGTTTACAGATTATTTCAACTGTTGTTGACGATAACATACAATAGTTTTGACATGGGTTTGTTTTCTCGTTTCCTTTCTTCTTTTTTTTGGAATGTAATGTCGATTTTGCTGTTTCATGGACTTCTGCTTTGGCTCAATCACTAGTTCACTTCGCAACTTAAAATAATCAGAGTATTGATCTCCTTTTGCGATGGTACTTGCATTTTTTTTGTTTTTTGTTTTTTGTATTTTTGTTGCATTTCTTCATTCATGTAATGCATATTCACAATTATCGTATGCACTGATTTTAGTTCAGCTGGTCTTTGACATTTTAATTTTAATGTTTCACCTGTACGAGTGAGATCCTGCCAAAAAACTGCCACACTATTTATTTAGTATTTCAGTTTATAAAATACCATGTGCATCCTATTATTTTTAAGCTGACACTCCAGGATTATTTCATCTTAGTGGACATTATAACTGCGGTTGAGTTCGACAAGAGTGGTGAATATATTGCCTCTGGAGATCGTGGTGGTCGTGTTGTTCTATTTGAAAGGACAAATGGGAAATATGTAAGTGAACTTTGATAGGCTTCTTTCTTGCCGTTTGCATTGGCTTATGTAATCATCTGAAGCTTAAAAAGTTGTTTTTGCTCTTAAAAAAAATATACTGGTGCACCTTTTTAGGGGAGATTAATCATAAAATGCAGTTAAAAATCATGCTTATGTGATCCTTGCTTGTTCGATTATGCAAATGGTTTTCAGCATGGGTCTAGAAAAGATTTGGAAAGATTGGATCATCCTCCTAGAAGCCACCCTGAATACCATTACAAGACCGAAATCCAGAGCCATGAGCCAGAGGTACACGTTTCACTTTCCATTTAGGTCTTAGTATTTTACACATATACTGATGTCTTCCGATGATTTATTGGATGGTTTCTATTATAAACCATCATTTCATTCTACATGCCTAGTTTTTGATGATTTATCCTTCTTATAATAGTTTGATTATCTGAAGAGTTTCGAAATTGAAGAGAAGGTTAATAAAGTAAAATGGTGCCCCAGAGCCAATGATTCTTTGTTTCTTCTCTCAGCAAATGACAAGACCATCAAACTATGGAAGGTGATTATTCTTTTTGGACAAATTCTTCATTCCTTTACTGCCAAAAGAGATTACTTCTAATCTTAGAACTTTTCCTGGACCAATTATAGGAGTTTGCCTCTAGTTAACTCTGAGGATTGAATGTAGAGAATTCATATGGTATGGACATATGTGACTGTGACTTTTATGTTGTTTCATATTTTGGAGACCAGGTCATGCAAAGAAAAGTCAAGAAAGTTGAAGAGATAAATCCAAATCCATCTGTATCTTCCGAAAATACACTCTTATCAGGAAAGGGTTTTCTATTGGGGCAGGAGGAATCACCTGTTGCTAATGGGAACTCTTTGGAGAAGACAAGTGGAATACTGCCAAATGATTTGTCGAAATCTTTAGAGGAGAGTTTGTCACTTCGTCATCTCATACTCAGAGAGCCTTCCATCTCAAGATGTCGGAGGGTGTATGCTCATGCCCATGATTTTCACATTAACTCCATCTCCATCAACAGGTATGTTGTTGATTCTTGTAAGTTCCTTAAAGTTTGCTTCAATCCATCTTGCGAAGTAACTTTTTGATTTGATAATCAGTGTTGAGTCTTGATGTTTAAACAATTAGTGCCTTTTATCAACTATCTTCGTTTATCTTCCTTTCAAATGTTAGTACTATAGGGTTCCTTGGTATTAGACAAAACTTAACATATTTTCTTGGCTGATGAATAGAAGGCATCTCAATTTTGAGAAACTTTATCAACGGCTGCCTTCTTCAGGGGATTATTTGCTAAGATGGTCGATAGAGCCAATCTAATATGCCACCTTCACCATGTATTGTCATATCCCTGCTCTAAAACATGTATAGGTAGATTTGAGAAATATAGGGAATGTCTCAAGGATTAGATTGGAATCTTTTAATACATTGTTCCTTTTAAGAAGTTGCTAAAATCAACTCTTTCCACCCATCTTGCATTGCATTTAGGTAGCACTTGCCACTCATCTTTTCAAAGGACTCTCATGTAGGATGCACTAATCATGTTGTCGAATTTTGACTTCTAACATACTGCTTGTAAGGTATTAGTTTGATTATGGGGTTTCTTATTTGGATATGCATTCGAGATCAACTACTCTGAATTTTGCATGGCAGATGGTGAGAATCTTAAGTTTGTGGGCTTGTAAGTATTGGTTCAATTATGAAGTTTCTTGTTTTGATATGAATTTAAGGTCAGCTGCTCCCATTTTTCCATAGTGGACAATGATAATTTCAAATTGAGCCTCTCTCTACATACAGCCCTTCTCATGGAGCCTGTATTTTTGAACTTCTAGTAAATTTTGGGTCACATTTGGATGGACCAAATTTTGGGGACATGACCTTTTCTTTAATTGGTTTTTGCCTCCACTATTTGGGTGACAAGCAGCCCTGACCCTGCAAACTAAACCTGTTTTCCCCTTTCATAAATACCTCTCCTGCATGTTCGAGTTGTTCGCCTGTCTGAAGCCTTAATGCTTTTAGAGAAAAATGCCATCTTTCAGAGGTAAGAAATTTCAAATTGATAATAAAAAATGACTTTCATTCATAATGAGATAGGTGTTATGAAGAAGTCTATCAACAATGAGAGTACTTATAAACAATGAGAGTACTTATAAACAATGAGACTGTCTGGAAATGACTTTCACTCATAATGAGATAGGTGTTATGAAGTCTATCAACAATGAGAGTACTTATAAACAATGAGACTGTTTGGAAATGCTAGGATGGTTAACCATATGTCCAGCCAACATTGTTGCTCACTGCAGAGCAATAACTGATTATGCCATTGGTTTAGTTAATGGAAGCTGTTGGTGGATCCACTAAAAGAACATGGTGAAGTTGATGATGGTGAGCTAGAGAGTTGGTCTTAGTGATCTGTGTAACATGATATCGGGCACAAGCGATTTGACAGAATCATTATTTTCAGCAGCAGCTTCTTGAAGTTATCTCATAAATCTTTATGATCGATTGAGAACTGCAAAATTCACTCTTTCCCAGTTCTTTGTTATTTGTTTTGTTCATCATGCATTGGTGCTCTATTCATTGTGCTGCATTTTTTGCTGCATCGCAAATGTTTAGAGCTGTTTTAAGATGTTCTTTAAACCTTTAAGCGTATACTCTACTCCTTTCTAACATCGTTCTCCATTTTTTATTGTGCTATCATTTGGAGTAGTCTGTTCTTCATCTGGGAAATCTATTGCCCTTATATGCCCAGTTTGTTGAACTCCTCATGCAGTGACTGTGAAACATTCATCTCTGCTGATGATCTCAGAATAAACTTGTGGAACTTGGAGAAAAGCTATCAATGTTTCAACATTATTGACCTAAAGCCTAACAACATGGAGGACCTCACTGGTAGTTCCTTTTTCACATTTAAGTTCTTAGTGTTCTAGAAATTAGAGTCTTGTCGATGTTGATATTTGCTTTAATTGTCCTCCAGACACTATTTTTATCACAAAAAAATAAATAATAGGAATAAATAAAACTGAAAAATGAACAATGAGAGTCATTGAATAATATCTGAGCTACAGTATAATCATGAACTCATACTATTTAATCGTGCAATCCTTCACATGTCTAAATGGTTCACCCCTCATTTTACCATTTACATTTATATAAATTACAGATGTTACCATCTATCTCCATATCCAAATCTTGATGGAAAGCTTAAATTACTTTTGGTTTTTAGGCGCTTTAAAGTTTAGTAAAGGACTTCTTTCAACAGGGATTAAAATCATCCCTGCTGACTTGAGATGATAACAGAGAGTATGCAAAATTAAGCTGAATTTCAAAATATTTCTTACGACGAATTGTGATTAACGCAACCAAAGAGGCACTCTTCTAACATTTGGTTCGAAGAGGATGAAAAGTTTTGAAAACCTTGCTGAAGAGTTTCAAAAACTTCACTTTGGCTAAGGCCTTCTTCAGTGTCTTCTTCAGCTGAAGTGAATTCTGGAAATGGTGGATAAAACCCAATATCTATTATTTGCTTTGAAATTTAAGTGAGGAAAATTATACAAGCATTAGCTGGTTCCCTTATAATATGCTACATAAAATTCGGTTACTAGGATTAAAATTTAGAAGAACCAATAAAGTATTGTCCAAACGCTATCTTCATTTTCAAGCATGCTAGAAAAAAATAAACATGAAAAGGGTCTCTGCTCAATGGGCCATGTAACTTATTGGGATTTTTGAGATCTAGATGCATGCGTCCAGATTTGGGATGTGCTAACATATCCAACTTACTATCGTGGGCCTGGTTTTAAGGGCAACCAAGAAATGTGTTTAGGCCTTGAAGATGAGGCTCTTTATTCCCTTATTACCTCTTTTTGACAAAAAAATAAAAAACCAAATAAAATCCATTTTAAATTTCCAATACATACTAAATTTGCATCTCAGCCTGTTCCAAAACCCTAGTGAATGGTCCATGAATTGTCATACTTATATTTACAAATGCTTCTTTTAATTAGGCAATGAGGTTTTTAGTTTTGTATGATACATGCTTGAATGTATGATACTTGGGTAAAATTTCAAAAGCCATCATCCTTCACTTAGTAGATGCTAGATTGAAACTCATGTACATTCCTAAAACAGCAAACAACTAGCAAAAAGGTTGGGTGTCTACTTTTAGGTTGTAGTATTTAACTGGGCACACAAGAGGTTCCTCACTAGTCCAACATGCTATTGCCCTTTAAACTTGTACCAGAAAATTGGTGGAAGAACTGGTAGTTCTCAGGTTTTTATAGAAAGTAAAACCTCTCTTGGACACGTATGGTGTGACTTCTGTGAAAGTAGTGGCTGTGTAGGATTTATGGGGTGTAAATTAAAAAAAAAAACATTTCTTTTATTAACAACGGGGTTATTTCTACTTACAGTGTCAAATTTTACAGTGAAAGCAGAAATCAAAACTTAAATACAACCTATGGATCTTAAGTCTTACCACCTTAAAGAAAAAAAAACTTTATTCATGAACTGAATTCAATTACAAGTAGAATTCTAAGTCAAATAGGAATCCTAATTCAACTACAGATGCTGATCAAGAACAATAAATTGAGAACTAAAACTAAAAACAAATAAGAAAAGCTAGAAAGGCTTATCTAAACTTTGCCTATGGTCACCCTCGTAGGCCTTAGCACAAAACCCATACCCGATTACGAGACTGATGGCACACTGATGCTTGGCCCTGCTTGAGTCCCCCAAATCTCGGACACACCCATGGCAATACCCTTTATAGTCCCACATAATTAGGACTCTTTTCTCCCATTAATACTTCTAATTTGATTAGATGGCTCCAAAGTCAAATTAGAAGGTCTAATTCCAACTTATTTTCAATTTCAAAACATTGTCATAACCAACTAAATCTTTTATTAAAGATTTTCTTTAGGAAAATTGCCCTCAACAAAACATAAGAGGACATGGGATGTCTCTCTCCTAAGGATTGGATGTGTTGGCCTAGTGGAGCCCACATCCACCGCAATGTGGGTCCCCCAACATGTGTGGCTGGGCCTTGGCGCCCCGTGTGGCTCCCACAAAACCCCTTAAAAGTTTTAAAATATCAGATATACTCTTAAGGGGTTTCTGTGCATAAAAGAGATTAGATGTGCTACTAGAAAACCTCTGCAACCTCCTATTCTTGCTAGAAAACCACTCAATCTCTAAACCACCCTTTGTCCCATATCCCATCAAATGTGATATAGATTTAGAGAGAGCAAAGAGAGACTGCAGATGACAGAGAGGAGTCATGTTTATTACCTGTATCCAAACTTCGCAAATCAGATCCTTGCATAGGTGAGAGTAAGGGGAGCATGGGGACAAAGGAAGAGGGAGGGTTAGATGGGGGTTTGGTTTAGGGTTAGGGTTTTTAAAGTTTTAGAAGTTTTAGATAGAGAGAGATAGATAGAGAGAGAGAGAAGGTATCGATGAGTTTGTTTCATGTACGTATAACATTACATAAAAATATTAAATAAATGCCTGGGTCAGGTCAGTTGGGTCAACCTAGACCCAGACCCGACCTGGAATTTGATCGGGTTCACACTTATTGACTTCGACCCATCCTTTTGGGTTCAGAAGCTGGACGCGAATGACAATATCGGATTCACCCTCATAGGCGACTTGTCAACCCAACCCCATTGACGTCCCTACCTTTTTCAAACTTTTTATTGACTTGGTGGTTTTCTTTTTATTGGCTTTGCTTGAAATAGGCCTTGGTCAAAGCAATACCTCTTTTTCCAAAAGGACGGGGATAATTTGCTGAAGAAATTTGCAACTTTCTTTGTTTCAATTCCACTTGCCAAGGCCAACATTGTCATCCTTGAGAACTATGCGACGAGTATTTTTCTATGGTCACAGTTATTTCCTTTTTGAAAATTTAAATTGAAACTCTATGCATATAAATGACTTTGCATGAGTAATAATCTTTACTGTCATGTTATGCAAAGGTGGGCATCTCATGAAGCCCGTAATACTTTAGGAAATTATATAATATGATAATTGTTTTGGGCTGTTCTTCCTTGTTACTTTGCAACTTTTGGGTTCAATATTTTGTGTTAATATTGTTTTTGTGTCAATTGACTAACTTAGGTTCTTAATTGTTTCAGTGTGTTTGTGTAAATAGCATTTTGTTCATTCTGCACAATTAGATGCTTTATCATTCCACCTATAACATTATTGTATCTGGACTATAGATTTTACCGAATTGTAGTTTCTCCAGTCAGATACACCTTCTAAAGAAGATATAAACACTTCATGCAGAGGTTATTACATCAGCTGAGTTCCACCCAGTTCATTGTAATCTCTTAGCTTATGGTGGCTCGAAAGGTATAATCCGACTAGTGGACATGCGGCAATCAGCCTTATGTGATGGATGTGCAAGGATGTTAGTTTTCCTGTCCTTTCAGTATTGTTCGTATTATAGTTTTATCCTTTTCTTATCTCTCTCTGTGCCTTATCTATCTTAACCGTCTGTTGCTAACTATGGAATATCAAATATGCAGATTTGAGGATAAAGCAGCACATGGACCCAGATCCTTTTTGACAGAGCTAATTGGTGCCATTTCTCATATGAAGTTTGCGAGCAATGGGAGGCATGTTTTAAGCCGTGATTACATGAATCTGAAGGTATTCTAACCACTTGCTCATTATTAACTTCTAACAAGATGCACTTCGAAATAGCGCAATAAAGATGTTTTCTTCCAAAGTTGACACTCTCATGCAGCTTAATTAGATTTGTTATTAATTTCTTGTGTCTAGTATATTCCTTGTGTTTTGCAAGACTAGTATATGCTTATGGCCAATTTATCATCTGGACAAGTAGATAATCATCTTCTCAAGGCATAAAATGTAGGCGATGCTGAAAAACTGGAAAGTTCCAGAAAATGCCATATGGACCATTTTATTCAAGATGTCATATGGCAGTAACTTTTTTTTCCTTTGTGATTCATGGGTAACAATGCTCACGAATATTACCTATTATAAGCATGCATATATTGCAGAACTGTCAGAAGTTGCCATATTTTTGGAGGGATATTCCGCATTATCAACCATGGTTTTTTCAAGTGGCAGGGAAAAAATGAGTACATACTTGGAAAAAAGAAAAGGTTTAGTTATATAGGCCTAAGGTTTGAATTTGAACTTATGATGCTTCAGATTTGAAAATTAACTGCATTCTCTTAAGTCTTAACAGCAGTCCAGTTTCTGATGATTCTGATCACTGAAAAAATTCATGAGAAAAGTCATACCATGTTGGCTGCTGGGTAGTAAAGTTTTTAAGTAGTCTCTTGCTGTGAAGCCTACAACCCTAGAGTCTCAAAGGGAGACATGGAGTTGTGCAATTATAATTAAACTTACAAAGATCATTAAGTAGAATGATTCTGAAATTGGTAGAACACATATAATTACCCTTATTAATTCACAGAAGGATGCTGACATCATTATTGCCCATATAATGCAATTGTGCTGTGCCTCTCAAGAAAAATATAGAACCTTTATAGTTTTATGTAGAGATACATGGACTGGGAGCCAAAGTGGGGGAGCATCAGTAATTGGAATGGTTGTGGTAGGAAATGGCTTGCTCACAAGGTTTGGAGCTGGAGCACGATCAACGCTTCAAGAACAGGAATGGAAGGATCCAGTAACGTCGGTTTCAAGTACAACCATAATTATTCTTGACAAGGATATCTCAATTAATCAAGGAAAGGATAGATAACCTATTGATGTATATATTAACTTCTAAAACAGTGGACACATCTCTTGTACTTCCTTTCAATTAATGATGGTCATGTGCCTCAAAAGAAAGAGTTCTGTCCAAGCCATTGTTGTTAGATTAACTTGAGGGCCCCCTTTGGCTTCGCCTGGAAGGAAGCATTTGGTGCTTCAGCCGATGTGTACGGAGACTTAATACTAATTGTACCAATAAAATCCAAGATCGAGAAAAGTTAGGAAATTTTAGAAAAATAAGAAAATATAAAAATATAAAATAAATTCCACAAATATGTTGGCACAACTTTAAGGACATTATCATTTGGAAGGAAAAGATTTGTAAAGGTAAATGAAAACCTACTTATCGAAAGGGAAAGATAAATGTAAAGTATCAAAAATCAAGTTTTATTAAACCTAAGTAAGATTACCATAAAACCCATAAAGTTAGTGATTGACTAAATCTCTAACATCTGTAGATAGTATTTCTATTATAAGGATTTAACATAAACCTAGGTACCAGGAAAGGAAGATCAACATAAAACCCGTAAGATCAACAACATATCTCTGAAAATGAACATCTTCAACTTAAATCTTCTAAAAATTTGATTTGTTCCCCAACATCTGCAACTTCTGCAATACAAAACATTTGAAACCTAGGAATTGAAACATTTTGTGCGAAAATGAAAATACAATGAAGATTCTAAAAATATAGTGAGGAATTGGCAAGAATCTCACTTTAAGGGCGTGTTTGATAACATGAAGTTAAAAACTTCTTAATACTGTTCAAGTTTCGTGTTTGATAAAAAAATTGAACTTCAAACAAAACTTCAAGGAACTGTTCAAGTTCCAATTTTGCTTTAAAAAAAAAGTTCCAACCCAAGGGTTGGAACTTAAACTTAGAACTTTTTTTTTATGAAACCCACCCCCCTTCCCCCCCCCCCCCCCCGCCCCCCCCCAATATATAAAATGTATATATTTTATTATATAATATACAATATAATTTATTGTATAATATATTTTATTATATATTATATTTTATTTATATAATA